CTTCCAGCAGTTGCACCCCAAGCTGTTTTGCGCAAGTTATGGAGGACACTCTGTATCGTGGAATTAAAACCAGATGGGGAGCATTACCCGATGCAAGAACTGTCGTGCAGTCCATGTGGTGCACACTTCGCGGTGCAAGCTCTGGGGTGCAGTCCATGCGGTGCAAACTTTGTTGTGCAATCCATGGGGTGAAAACTGTGATGCAACTTACCGGGCGCAGGCTACGTGTGCATCCCGGAGCGCGAGCCAGGACGCAAGATGGGCACGAGGCAAGCACGTGCGGGAACCGGACGAAGACCCGGAAAAGCCAGCTGGCGCACGGAGCGGGCGCGAGGCTGGCACGGGCGGGCACGAGGCGGAAGACCCAGGACCAGCCCAGTTCCCTGGCAACGCGAATGCAATGTAATCTCGGACAGAAGACCATCCCTCCAGAAGAAGAGACACTCCGCCGGCCAAAACGCACAGAGCACCCTAGGGTACCCTCCCCTGGATGCACAAGAACACCCAGCAAACACGACAAACGCAAGGGTACCCTCCCCGAACCGACCTCGATGTCATAGTTACATCGGTCCGGCTGTAAGACCTCCGTAGTGCGAGCACTGCGAGGGGAACTGAGAGCACGGATGTACGAGTAACAAGATCGAGGACACAGCCAACAATGGCCATCATTTATCAATGACAGTCGTAATGTGAACTTGAGATAGCAGTGAAGCCGTTGGAGGATAATTATATGGAAGTGATGCGTGCCACATGCAGCCCCCTCCCAACCAACCTCCTCGTAGGCTCCATAGCGCTTGCAAGGCGAGGAAACTTGGGGAGGGCGTAGAAGGTGCATGAGAAGAGGGACGCGGGAAGGAAGATGATGCGCCTACCGCCACCCACTCTTGCCCAATGACAGAAGTAAGGAGGTATGCGGCCGCGTTTGACTTTTCCCTGATGCTCCGATTTGTTGCTTGCAGCGACGCCCCCTTCTGAGATTGCGCGTCCCAGTCACTTACAGAGGGTTGCTAGATAAGATCACATTAGCGTCGTGTTTTTTGTCCAGGCGAACGTCGAGCTATACTTCAGCGTCAAATACGTGGTGCCACGGTGGGCTTTTGACCTGCGGCACCCTCCGAGGCATGTTTTGGCGTTGGAGCGCCAGGGCTCGTCCCTCAGAACTGCGAGAGCTTCACCATCAGGGACTTGCGATGGGGTCAGGCCAAGCTCTGTCCATGCTGGGCTGAAGGGTCAGGAACTTCAGGGTGCCTTGGATGGAACCTGGACCCAGAAAAGGCCTTCCAGGACCTGTGATCCCGCGGGCCGGCAGCTTCCCTGGACCCGTCCCTCGGCTGCCGAGGACTGCCGAGGCACGAGCCAAGCTGGCCCTCCGAGGGGCCGAACCTCGCCCTGCCGCTCGGAGCAGAAACACACCTGGACGCCTCGTGCCCCAGCAGCGCCCTTCTCTTGCGACACCCGGCGGAAGCCGACAAGCCCACTGGCGCTCTAGCCTCCAACCGCAGCTCTAGCCTTTGAGATTGGGCGGCGAACCTCCCGGAAGCTGAAGGGGCCCTGGGACACACAAATAGATACACGCAAATGAAACGATTCCCCATAGTTTCTCATATTTTCTGGGTTTTCGTCTTCCCCCCCCCCTCCCCATGACTTTCCCATATTTTCTGGGGCATCGACGATTCATTGTGTCTGTGTGTTTCTTTCCCTCCTGATCCAGACCCGCCTTCGCTGCCCCCGTGGCCGGCTGGGAGCGGCAGGGAGCACAGGTCCTGGGGGCTGGAGGGCTCTCTCTTTGGGGGGGCCTTCTTGCGCGAGCGGCCCTCCGGGCCGATCCGGGCCCTGCGTGCCCCTGGGCGCCAGATGCCCCGACGCGATCCCGGCTTCGGCGGCGGAGTCCTTCGCTGTCTGTGGTGCCCCGACGCGATCTCGGCTTCGGCGGCGGAGTCCTTTCAGCCTTTCAGCCTTTATGCCAACAGATCCCACGGCGTGAGACCAGCAGCAGAGGAAAAGGGGGGGGGGTCGAGGTCGGAGCAACCCACATCATCGCTTGATGGGGATGCTGCGACCAAAGAAACGTCTGGCGCTGGGGTCGATACCTCTCTTGAGGAGGTCCAGGGAGGTATCGTGTCTGCGACACTGGGGCTGGAGCACCTGCGCCCTGGCGTGATCCTGCGCTGCTCAGTGCCTTCTCGACCCGCGGAGACCCGCGGTGCCGCCCGACGATGTGCTTCCCATCTGGGGGCGAACGTGGCCACTTTTTCCGGTTTCCTGCGTTGCTTTTTCGCCAAATGATCAAGGATGCTCCTCGATGGTCCTCGCCGGAGGAAACATGCACACGTCCGAGCGATGCCAAGCTACTCCCCTGACCTCTCCCAGGGTGCGTTCTGACTAGAATCTCGAGGTCAATCCAGCCGTGGCGACGAAGGGCTCCCAAGAGATCCGAAAGCACGATAACGGGAGAAAAGTACCGGCATCGGTACCTTTTCTTCCGCGGAGTCGCGGGGGGCACGGGGGCACACTCACAACCCGCCGCACCCCAGACCCCCAGAGGACTGGACCCCTTCCCCACAGACCGGTTTTTCACCCTGAATCATTTTGTTGGACGGTCCCAAGGCCCTGTGAAAGCCCCCGGTCCATGCCTTCTCGGTTTCCTCCTCCTCCTCCTCCTCCTCCTCCTTCTCCTCCTCCTCCTCCTCCTCCCCATCCAACCGTCATCCTCCCTTCTGGAAGTCGGCGGAACGACGTAAGGTTATGGAGTACTACGCAGTGCCGTGCCCAACCCGTCTGCATCAAGTGGTAACATCAACGAGCCCAGTGAGAACGACACGTCATGGGAAGAGGCATGGCACAATTCCAATGGAACAGAGGCCAAGGGTGAGGGCCGAAAACAGCGAAAAACCTCCCGTCGTGTTTTTTTTCGCAACGTAAGGGGGTCCGGGACCATGCTCTCGAATTGAATCCTTCCCGCCTAAGGCGCCTTCCATCGATCCAGCTACCGTTAGGTCGGGCATGTCCCCCTACAGGCGAATGTTGGAAGAAACAAAAAATAGTCAAAGCATGCCCACAAATGGTCAAACATAGTCAATCAATCGTCTCCGTATTTTTTTGCTGACTATGTTTGAATATTCGTCCTGTAGAGGGACATGCCCGACTTGAGGCTATCGGACCGCGGCCCGCTATTTTCTGGCGCGCGAACCCGAGGGGCAACGCAGCTGGCTTGAGCCTTCTGTCGAGCTCTGGTGGGGTCTTCGCTGCTCCTCCCGTCCCCACTGGGAATTTGCCGCTGAACACCCAGAGCCCTTCGGGCCAACATTTTCCAGTGCGTCGCCGCCCCCGGTGGGATGATGTGACTAGAGAGACGGCGGCTTGTTCTCCATGATCTGGGTGTTCGGGGCCCCAGGTCAGATGGCAACCCGCTCACCCACTCGAGCCAACATTGCACACGGATCGTAGGGGTAGCATCCGAACGACTCCGAGCCAGGGCTCGCCGCCCACGGCCCCGACCACGACGCACGTGCAGTGTAACGTTCGCACGTGCTGCGCTGTTCACACTCGGGAAAAACTCACGACGGGAATGAGTTTCGCTGTTTTCGGCTTCGGGCCCTCACTGGGCCTCGAGATTGCTAAAAAATGACTCGGGATGAAAACCTGGTCCCGGGGAATGTGTCGAGACGGCTGGGAATTGAAACCATGAAAATATCATGACGTCGGGGGACTGGGCAACCGGCTTGAAGCCCCAGTCTCTGAAAGTTGGGAGTTCTGGCCCGAGTGTCCAGTGAAGATGAGGATGGTCTGTGGGGTAGAGGGAGGCGAAGTGGTGGTGGGATCACCCTGCCACTCTCAATAGCAAAGCTTGCGCGCGAGCGGATCCGCTCCTGGCCTTCCACTGGTGGCCTGAACTGGGTTTCTCAAGGTGTTTGTATTCAAGTTAAGGTCTCGCTCGCAGAGAGGCAGGCAACGAACACCATGTGAGGAAGAGTCCAAATCAAAGCTGCTTTCGTCCACGAATCGTCTAATAAATCGCCAGCGCTCCTGGGACGATTTTGGTGAACTTTTACAAGCGTTCTGCGTTGTTGGGCCACTTCGCCACGCGTCCTTTCTTCCGAATCTCCTCCCCCTCTCTCCCCCGCCTCCTGTTTTTTGCTCCCACCCGCACTGCTGCGGCTGCGCTGTCTGCTACGTGCTGCTCTCTCTGCACTTGCTGCTCCTGCTGCTGTCGAACGCTGCGGCCTGCTGTCGGTTGCCCATCCCTCGCGCGCATCGTGCCCCACAGGGAGCTCTCGGCAGGGGCGCCCGCACTCGGGCCCGCACGGCATTTTCAGCGCACCCGTCACGCGGATCGTGCCCCACGGGGAGCCCTCGCGGGAACGCCCGCATGTGGGACTCCAACCACTTCGGCGCATCCCCTCAGGCGGATCGCGCGGATCTCAACCTGCGGCCCCAGTGGAAGTCCTCGCGCCCGGTCCCCATCCCACTGCGGAGCACCTCTGACACGGATCGCGCCCCACAAGTAGGGGGCTCAATGCGCCTCTGCTTGCCTGCTCCGCAGCCCCCTAGCCGCGCTGCCCCGAACTCCATCCCTCCCGCGGCGCAAAGTTTTCGAGCAGAGGGCCATGCCTTGCGCTACACGCAGCTGCATAGGAATTGGCCCTTCGCCAGGTTATTTCTGGCAGCCTGTGTTTAGGCCTCCTAGATGGGGTCAGCGTGGATGGGGTCGAAGGATCACGCCGCATCACTGGTGTGTCGCCGATACATCGCCGATGAATCGGCGACGTTGGTGATGCATCGGTGACGTCGGAGTGGAGACCATCAGGCTCCACATCGAGCCGCATCGCCCGCCGATGCGTCAGCGATGTGGCACGATCCTCTGATCCCATCTACTCTGACCCCATCTCGGACGCCTAGACTTTGCCGCCACTGGGCGACTGTAGTTATCTCGTGCTGCTCCTTGTGCGTTCTTGACTGCAGCCGCTTCCTCGCTCCCTCCTGCGTCAATGCGCGGTGTCCTGCGCCTCAGCAGAGACGGACGCGCCCATGCCCAGGTGCCGGTGAGCTCGGCACGGACGAGCTCGGACAATGATGGCCTGCACGCGACACCGTCTCCGCCGCACAGCATGGTGCCGCACGCGTCTTGCGAAGGGAGCCTCAACAACACGTGCGCGCCCAGCCACATACGTACATGAATGCGCCCCCCCCCCAGGCCGAGACGTCGCGCGAAGCCGCGCTCATGTCACGAACGCTCGCGTAATGTGCTCTCGCGAAAGCCATGCGAATCATGGGCGCGTGCGTCTTCACGACGCTCCTGATTGCTGCGCAGCAAGGCGCAACCCGAACGCCGTGATCGCGTAAACCAATGTTGGAATGGTGGGAACCGCTCGCGAGGACAAGCACAACATTCGCCGACCCCTTGGGATTCCTCGGCGCGTGAGATCGCAGCTCCTCCCCCCTTTCTCCTGGAGCCGGGTGAGTTCGGGACGCCAGTGCTGAAGGACTCATCTCGCCCAGGAGAGAACTAAGCGCGCGCAAATGGCCTCGCATGACCCAGGTGGTCTGGCCGCGCGACGGACCAGGATGGCCTCAAGGTGGCCCACATTGGCCCCTGGATGGGCGGCCCAGCGCGCATGACCTCAACAGAACCCGACATGCTCCCGAGACAGCCCGAGAGAGCCCCAAGAATACCCCCAGAAAGGGCTCCCAGATCGTCGGTCCCTCCCAGATTTTCGGATGATTAAAACGTTCTCCCCTTTTTCTCGTTTGCGCAAGCCCCGGAATTGCGGATAAGAGTGAAGGGGCGGCGGGGTCGTCGGCAGTCTGCGAGGCTCTGAAGAAGCCCGCCGCAGGCGCCGATTTTTTAACACATTGCGCAACGAACCCGCCGCCAACGCCACATTTTCGTCAAAACAATGTGGGTGAGTCGCGGGTGGGGCGCGGGTGGGTCGCGGGGTGGGTCGCGGGATGGGCTGCGGGGTGGGTCGCGGGATGGGTCGCGGGCGGGTTGCGTGCGAGGACGACGGCGACAACAAAACCTATGAATTTAACACTGCTCGTTCTTATTATCTCGCGCGTCACTCAACATGGATATCCCGGACCCTCGATGCCTGCCGTCTTCGTGTGCGATCACACGCCGCTTGGGATCATATCTTTCTTTTGCCTGCCACGCGTAGTTGGCGCAGCCCCTAGACAGGAAAAGGAAGGGAGGACGGAAGTAGGGGGAGGGTGGGGTTCACTTCGCTCGGGAGCTCTTTAGCGAAGTGAACCCCACCCTCCCCCTCAGAAATCGTGGGGAGTACGGGTCGGGTTCGCATGTGGCCCCCTGGGAAGATACAAGGGGGAGGGAGAAGGATTGAGTACGAGTGAGATTTGCAGGTGGGGGGCTTAGGAACAGGAGCACAAGCGGCAAAACCAAGCGGGCGGGTCAGGAGGGCGGACGCCGACCGGCAGGTCGGGCGGGCGGGCCAGTATGGCCGGGTCGAGAGGGCGGGTCGCTGAAACGTCAATCCAACACGAATCGCACAATAGTTTCAAACCATAACGCGATTCCCAAAGAAGTCGTGCTGAGATCCAAAACGAACGCGTGATTCCTGAGTGGCGGGGGCGCGGCGCCGCAATCCATTGCGAGGCAATTCCACGCGAGAGCGCGATTCCTGGACCACTCATGAGTTTATGAGGATGTCCCGCGCGAGAGCGCGATTTCGAAATAACTTGCGAAAGAACATCAAGTGGGAACCGTTGTTGTTGCTGTTGTTATTGTTGGTGTTGTTGTTGTTGTTGGTGTTGCCGTTGTTGTAAGTCGGGGGCAAGGGGCACAGTCTGAGGCCCGATGCCTTCCTTTGTGGAAAAAAACCGGTGCGATCCCCAGGAGGAGCACTTTCGTTGACACATACAGTAGGCACCGTCGGAGTGGATCAACAACACTGGTTCTTTAAAGCTGAGAATTCAACAACACCACCAACAATACCAACAAAACCGCCGCCACCATCACCAACAACAAGAGCAACAGCAGCACTAACAAGAGGAATAATCGCAGCAACAACACCACCAACAACGACAACATATCGGAGCGCGCGCGGGCGCGCACGGGCCCTTTTCGGCGCACGGGCCAAAGAGGGCTGCAGTCCCACTCTCCCCTTCTCTATGCTACACTGCTGATGCTACGCCTACCCACCCGCGCTGCATTACACGGGGTCTACAACTACATACTAGAATCAGCAAGTCCCTTGAACGCGCTAGATGCCTCAGCGCCCCTCCGCCACGTAGGCGTCTGTGGCCTAACATGGCCTTCGATCGTGCATGTCAGGGCACGCGGGATTTGATCACTCCAGCCATGTAGATACACGCCCAACCCGATCAGTCCAGAAGCGGGTACCTACGTAGACTAGGGTTTGCCGGCATTGCTGCCCTTGCCGGGTGAAGCCGTTTTTTTCCGAGTCTGCCTTTTCTGCTACTTTGTTCGGTGCTTCCCGGCGCGGCTCCCGAGCAGCAGCCGGCGTTTCCTTCCTTCGTTGCGTCTCCGCGGCTCCCTCAGCCACACGAGAGCGCCTTTGCCTACGCGGCCCACTAGGCCGCGGCAGGGCCATGCCCGCCAGCATGCGCAGCAGTGCACCGTGAGTAGTAGATGCGACTTCAACCGCGCTGCTCGTGCCCCCTGCCCGGGCCGTGGGTGGCTCGCAGGGCCGCGTCGCACTCCGCCGGGGATTCTGGGTGGACCTCCAGGCGCCCTGACTGGACCTCTGGGCCGAGTCAGGCTGCCGCAGCCCACCTTGGTAGGCGTTCGCGGCCTTGGATCTGCACTGCTAGGAATGCTATCACCCCTCCACTGTTCAAGCCCTCTCTCAGAGGCTCTCGCCTTCGTAGCGGCATCTCAGTAGCTGGTCAAGCCGCGCTGTCGGATGTTTCGTACCGAGGTCTGCCCAATTGACAGAACCGTCCACCCGGGGCAGCTCCAACTTGCACGGCGCGCGCGTCACTGCCTCGATGATCTGCGCCGTCTGGACGCCCATCGCCGCGCCTTTGATGATGGCCCAAAAACTCACCTTCCCAGAGCTCAGTGCAAGCAGTGACTGTCTAGACACACTAATCTCCATCAAGTGCTCCCCGAAACGTTCAACTACACAGGAGTTGTTTTTCCTCGTCTCTCTGTCGGCGGCCCAATCAGACTCGCAATGCTCAGCCAGGTGCGTCGGCATCTTCTGATGCGCGAAGATCCAGATCTCGCCAAGATGATCAAAGACACAGCGCATGCGTCTTTGTAGGCGTCGTCATCCCCTCCATGACCGTGCTCGTGGTGAACTTCACACTCGGGACATCCTCTGCTAGGTACTGCACGGTGCCAGTCGCTGTCCTGAGGACCTGCGCCGGCCCCGTGCCAAGAGGTTTTGTGATGTTTCGGTCACCTATCCCGGTGCCATTCGACGAGGACGCGGTCGTGCCCCGGGGCGATCCAGGCTGTAGGCCCTGCAACTCCATCGAACTGGTGATGTGCTCCAAGTTGCCCTCGCACTCGAATCCGCAACTGGTCCACCGCATCGTTCGTTTGACGCGCTTCAGGTCCGTGGCTTGCCCTCCGTGCTCCGGCGGTCCCATGCGAGGGAATCTATTGACCTCACAATGGCGTTGCATGATCTGGTCAAGCTCGTCCAGCCCCTCCTTCTCCGCCCCCGCCTGAAAGTCGCCTCCGTGTCACCCGAGACCGATGTCCAACACGTGATGCACGAACGCCGTCGGCGCAACCAGGATCATGACGAAACCCTCCTCCACAAGAGCTTTGATCACGTAGCTGCCGAACTGTTTGCTCGCCTCGCGGGTGCCATGCATTCTTTTTCGCAACAACCGCGCAAAGCCTTCCTCTCTCAGGTCTGCCAGCGGGATGACAGCTGTCTTGCACGTCGGCTGCACGTGAAAAGTGTCGTAACCTGCCACGGGTCTTGCCCGAGTGCCGTCTGGGCGTTGCTTGGGCGCAGCGAGGCTTACGATGATCCTGCAGACCTTTACAAGTGACTTAGATTGCGCCGCGTCCAATCGAACATGCGCGTTGGCCTTTGTTGCAACGAGGCGCGCGCGTGCTGCTGCAGAGTCCGCGCCCGAAGGCTTCGGTTCAAGAGTCCATCCACTTGGCGTTCACTATCTTGCGCCGTTGTTTCCTTGCTTCCGGCCATGGGGTGTCTTGCTCAACTTCGCGAGCGTCGACGTCCCTCATCTCCTTGATCTCGCCTTCGTGCACCTTCTGTGGGTCCAGTTTCACACCGCCGGCCTTCGTGGATAAGTACTCCTTGCTCCAGTCCATGTTGATAGGGGCCACTTCTGCCCCCCCCCCCCCCCCTCGATGGATGAACAGAGGTAGCCAATTGCTGTGCCCGCAACTGCCGCTGCGAGGCCAGGCTGGTGCAGCGATGGCAATCCAGCCATCGTTCTCGACCACTTCTCGCTGGGTCCGTCGTCTTCTTCGTCCACTTTGTGGTCTGAGGCTTCCGCGGGAGGCCTTGGCAGCTCCTGCTGCTGCGCGTGCACGTCAGACGCGTCTTCAGACGCAGGTGCGGCGCGGTGTGGCCCCTGAACCATTTCCGCTGCGCCTCCGGGCCTCCCTGGGTCTTGCGGCGCTGGCAATGGCGCGGGTGGCGCTGACGAAGGGGCCGCTGTTGGCGGCGCGTGGGTAGCACAGCGCGCCGCCGCAAGCCGGCCTGCAGACGGAAACGGGGCGGGGGGGGGTGGCGCGAGATGGCCGCGCGCCGCCGGATTGGCGGGCGCGCGGCAAGGTGGTCCGCCACAGGCTCGGGGGGGGATAGAGTCGGTCGAATTAGCATCTTCAGGGTCGAGTCGATCTATGGGAGTGCCCGTTCGGGCGGCGGCCCAGGGCGCGCGTCGGGGGTGCGGTGGGCAGTAGTTGGGAAGGCGCTGCCTAGATTGGTGGTTGTTGGGCCAGGCGGGGTCAGCGCGTCGCTTGCCTTTCCCCGCGGGGTCCTGGCCCTTTTTCTTTGCCCTTGCCTTTGTCCCATTGCAGCTGCTCGATGCGCCGCGCCTGCCTCTCCCAAGCGGCGTT